TTGGTTTTCAAAGAAACAAAATAGTGTTGCATTATCTACCACTGAAGCGGAATATATTTCAGTCGGTAGTTGTTGCGCACAATTTTATGGATGAAACAACAACTTTTAGACTATGGAATTGAAGTTGGTACCATTCCTATCAAGTGTGACAATACTAGTGCTATTTGTCTCACTAAAAATCCCATCCAATACTCTATAACTAAACACATTGAAATTAGACATCATTTCATTAGAGATCATGTCACAAAGGGAGATGTAGTTCTAGAATTTGTAGATACTTTGCATCAATTAACGGATATTTTTACAAAACCTTTATACAAAGAGAGATTTTGGACACTTATGAGAGAATTAGGTTTAACCGACCTACCTTGACTTAGTGTTTAAAATAATTTTAGCCTTTTAATTAGAAAAATAAAAATGCTTATAAAAATAACATTTTTGAATGCCTTCTATGTTAATAGTTAGGGGAGTTTATAATATTTAGTGAAATTAATAATATGTTCAAAAAATTTAAGGGTAGATTTGATTGAACATTGTTAATTTTCGTGAAATTAATTGTCAATACCACTAGAGCTAATTAATTTGCATGTTAAGTGTTTAAATATATTTTTGACATTTCTATGCAGGTATCGATACCTGTCACCCAGGTACCGATACCCCTTGCTAGGTATCGATACTGATTCAAACAGAACTGATATCCTCCTTGAATGTGTATCGAAACCCCTCGATGGGTAGATACCCCCTGTCGGGTTTAGGCTATAAAATCCCTAAAAATCAATATTTTGCCTATTTTAAACCCTAAACACTTTTAGTCGCTCCTCTTCTCTCAAAACACCCAATCTCCATATTGCTCAAAACCTTCAATTTCAAGTCAGATTTCGATAGTTCTTCAACTCATAATCCTGCTACATTCATCAAAATCATGCAAATAACAACATATCCATTCAATCTCGAAATTTCAAGGTAATTTTACTAAAATCACTATTTTATTGATTTTGAACATAACTAGTTTTAGTTAGTTCTAGTTCAAATTAGTGATCGGGCATTACATATTCGAGTTTTAAACTAGAATCTACAAGAAATTTCATCAAAAACACAAGATTTTTCAAATTTTTAAATTTTCGAAAAAAAAATGTTTTTGTTTTAAATTGTTGTTTTTGATTTAATTATGTTATTTTCATGAAAACTATATGCATTATAATCTTTCAAACTTAGTTTTCAAAATAGTTTTCAATTATGCCCATTAGATACTAAGTTAGAGAACCTTGAATATTGAGGACTCATATTGAGTTTTGGGATTGATAATTGTTGCATACATGTGTTTTTAAATTGCAGGTATCCCATTCCGATTTTTAAACCATGTCTAAACGAGCTAGGTCATCTTCTAGTCGATCAAACCCACCTCCTATTCCACCTCCAAATCCCAAACCAAATGAACCCGAAATGACCATTCTTAACTCTTGTTTTAATGAACCAAACCGTAGAGGTCTCTACTCTAGGTTTGTTAACCATTCGAGTCTTATAACATTCTGGAAGAGCATATTCCGTCTCTCCAAGCTATGATAGATAAGAAATTCAACCTCTAAACCCTCAAATCATGGAATTTGATTATTTTAAGGTTGAACTAGTTGTTTATCACCAACTCGTTCGTATTTTCTACTCCAATGCAGTCTGTATACAAAACGAGTCTCGAACCGCAACCGAGATTATTCAGTCCTATCTCCTAGGCCAATACATTAATATAGACTCAGAATACATAGCTAATGCTTTTGGTCTAGATAATAGAGGGTTAGATAATGAGCGAGATTTAGTGCCTACCCCTTATAAAGCCAAGTCTAGTGCGAGTGCTTTGGATTATCACGAGCATTTTCTTCATCTTATCATTCTTGGTGGTTTAGACCATCCGGAGGAAAATAATCCACTTAGAGCACTTGACTTATGGTGGATACATTGTATCCAACAAAATAAGAAAATAATTCTCCCTCAAATTATCTTTGGGGAACTTGTAGAAACCGTAAAAAATATTCCTTCTAAACTTGTAGAAACATTAGTCTACGGATGTCTACTTAGTAACATGTTTATGAAAGTTGAACTTAAGGTAGAACTTAATGTAGTCATCCCTCTAACCACCTAAATCAACTTCACCTCTTTACGTAATCGGGATGGACTGGAGACAAAGATCAATGGATTCTTCAACATAGAAAACCCCGGTGCTAGCTCTTTACAAGCTACTCTGCTCCGGCTACTACTCAAGAGCTTGACGATCTTCTACGGGACGTCGACGATCCCGTAAACCTTCCCGAAGATGAGCCAGCCAGGCAAGAAAGTACAATGCCTCTATACTTTTAATCCTTTATGGAGACATTGGACTTAAGGTTCACATCCTTGTAGTCCCACTTGACTGCTATGGGAACTCAACAATTGGAGAATCAAAGGGAAATTCGAGCTAACCGCGAAGCAATGGATAATAGATTCAATGTTATGAATGAAAGACTCGACGCACTAACCCGCGATGTTGCTTACCTTAGAGGACATCGATTTGATCTCGATCCTCCTACGGATGATTGAACACTCTTGCTAGTTTTCGTAGGTTGAAATATTAACTTAGAATTGTTAAACATTTTGATTGATTTGGATATTTAAACTTGAATGTTTTGGATATTTTGGATGTTTTGTTTGATTATGAATGATATTTGGTATTTGAACTTAAATTGAATTTTTATGTTAAATTATGCATCATTTACATATTAGATCATTTATGACCAATTACCATTACATATTATTTATGAATATTGATTATGGACTAATGGCTAATATTTTTCTTGACTTTGATCTTAGCAGCTATACAAATATTTATAAATCAATTGACTATCTTCTTTAAAAACTTGTTTAAACGTTTTATAATGTCTTTTTTATTTAACAAAAAGTGGAGAAATGTTATAGTAAGGGGGAGTGGGGGAGTAATTTTCAAAGTAATTTTCAAAAGACAAAAATCTTAAAATTTCTAAAGTGTTTTTTTATATCAAAAGGGGAGATTGTTGAGAAAAATTTTGATATCGATAACAGAAGTGTCAATGAATTTTAAGATTTTATATTCAATTCAATTATTCGAATATAAAAAATATTACTCCAAGCTTTCAAAGATCATTTTTTACTCCTTACTTAATGAAAAATTGTGATTTATACTTAAAATATTTTTGGAACAATTTTTACAAAGTATTTCGAACCATAATCGAGTTAAAAATGAGTTTTAATAGGGAGGTACCGATACCTATTTTACGAGTATCGATACCCCTCAAACATCGAATGCAAAAGATGTATGGATATCCCATAGGGTAAATACCCCTTTATAGAGGTATCGTCTTAACGGTCAAATATTGATTTTATCCAGAAATAACATATGAAGTGTATCGATACCATGAAAGGTATCAACCTTTTTGAAGTATTGAACCCCTTTAGAGGTACCGATACCCTTGGTCTTGCAACGGTCGAAATATTTGAATTTTATACAGGTATGTCGATACCCTTATGAGTGTGTCGATACCCATCGCTCCCAACAACTTTTTGAAGTGGATTTCACACCACAACAACTCTTTTGACTTCACCAAAGATCCCCAACGTCTAGAATTAATTGAGGTATTTAAACAAGTTCTTGGAGCCATTGATGATAAAAGAAGATAGAGAAACAAAGAGAAAGCCTTAAACTCAAGTTTGAGCAATTCAAGCCAAAATCCTTTCAGTAATCATTTTGCTTTCAAGAACACACTTTGTGCTCAATTGTATTAATCTTTGAGTGTTCTTACTTTGTTCTAGAACTGTGCAAACATCGTACCTTGTGAGATTTTTATGTAAGTTTGCAAAGTTTGTAATTTTCTCTTTGAGCGAGATTGTTCTCAAGATTTGGGGTATAATTCTTGAGGAGTTGTAAGGTTACTCTTTGTCCTCAAATAAAGACAAATTAGTGAATTGTGGAAAATCCTTAGTGTATAAGGTAGTGACGTAGATTTGGTTGAGAAAGTCGAACCACTCTAAATCGTTGTGCAAATATTTTCAATTTTCTGTCAAAACTTCCACCAAAATTTTAAAATATTTTCAATTTCATTCACCCCCTCTTGGCCGATTCATCCGATCAATTAACTCAACAATATAAAGAAAGAAAAACAATAAATACCGAAGATCGACAATCACACCAAGACTAGTACCATCACCGATCACAAAAATGAAAGGAAAAAAACACTAAATTGACTAACGAAAGAAAGAAAACTAAGGCAAATACAAATTGCAATATTCAAAAAAAAAGATTTTACTTCTATATATCCAATAAAAAAGTAAAGTACACAAATGGTCCCTTGGCTATAGCATATTATTTTATAAGTCATCTGACTATTAAAGGTTACAAAATGATCCTTACTATAGGGTGTTGCTTTGTTGAGTCCTCGACTATTAAAAGTTACAAAATAGTCACCTGGCTATTCATTATGTTCCAAACTCGTCTTTTTGTTAAAATTTAACGACATTCTAAGATAGACGTTCACCTTTGAGAGATATGATAAAATATGATATCATAATCTCAAACGACTATCATATCTCAATCAACATGTTAACGCCCAGCCCAGAAGACCGTTATTTTTTTTAATGGAAAAGGACTAATTTGGAACATAATAAATAGTCAGGTGACCATTTTGTAACTTTTAATAATCAGAGGACTCAACAAAATAACATGCTATAGTCGGGGACCATTTGTGTACTTTACCCTAGAAAAAATTAACGTATAAAATTATTTTCAAGAATTATATTTCCATTAACTTTACCATTACTTTTCGTTTTTAATTTTAATAATAATGCGTTAATATAAATTTTCAATTGGATTCTTAGTCCATTAAAAGCGCAGCCGTGAAACATGTATAAATACCCATTCACCTTTCTTCCATTCTGCATTAAACAAGTCTTGAGCTTTTTAACATCAAAACTAAAAGAGCGAGACTTTGAGAACAAAAAAGATGGCAACTTTCCCAGTGATCAACTTGGAGAGGCTAAATGGTGATGAGAGAACCGCAACCTGGAGAAAATCACGATGCCTGTCAAACTGGGGTTTCTTTCAGGTAGTTATTTCATCAAAACATTCTCCATTATTTATTACTATTAATTTGTTGTTTGATTCCGGGTACTGAACCGTGGGATTCCCCATGATTTTCTGGACACGGTGGAAAGGTTAACTAAGGAGCATTACAAGACGTGCATGGAGCAGAGGTTCAAGGAACTGGTATCCAGCAGCCGACCTCACTGATGTGGATTGGGAGAGCACGCTTTTCTTGCACCATCTTCCACAATCCAACAGCTGAAATCCCAGATCTCACCGTTGATACAGGTTAATATCGGAGGAACAAAAGTAATTCACTGTTTTCTGGAAATCGAATCCATTTTTTATAAAAATTTGCAGGGAAGTGATGAAAGAATTTGCTGTGAGTTGGAGAAGCTAGCAGAAGACTCCTGGACTTGTTCTGCGAGAATCTGGATTAGAAAAAGGGTACTTGATAAAGGCATTCAACGGGACAAACGGTCCAACATTTTCCACCAAAGTTAGCAACTATCCGCCATGCCCAACACCAGATAAATTCAAGGGACTCCGAGCTCATACCGATGCCGGTGGCATCATCTTACTCTTTCAAGACCCCATAGTTGGCGGTCTCCAGATTCTTAAAGCTGGCGAATGGATCGATGTTCCCCCGATGCGCCACTCCATCGTAATCAACCTCGGGGATCAACTCGAGGTCTGCAACTCGATCGACTTCTCTGTATATCCCCATACTACATTATGCTTGATAGTTTGAAAACTGTATTTTTTGAATATGCAGTGATCAGCATGGGAAATACAAATGTGTTGAGCACCAAGTGATGGCACAAACCGAGGGGACTCGCATGTTCATCTCTTTGTTTTACAACCCCTGTAGCGACGCCGTTATCTACCCGGCACCGGCTCTGGTGGAGAATGAAGCAGAAGAGAAGAAAGAATTGTACCCCAAATTTGTGTTTGAAGATTATATGAAGGTGTATGCTGAACGAAATTCCAGGCCAAGGAGCCAGGTTTCAAGACATGAAGCCATAACCACTGCAACAGCTTAATGTCATGTGCAATGGAGTTTGATCCTGCTTTATCTATTTTACAGCTTCTTACTGTTAAATACAAATAAAGAATTCGATGCTTATAAATCGAAAGTTTAAGACTTCTGGGGGAAAAAACAGAAGAAGAAAGCTCATGTCTTATGTACTAGTTTTATCCATTATGTAACAGTAACAATAATTAAAATATTATAATATCAATATTATTAATTAAATTTAAATTCAATCAATAATTTTTTATAACGGCTAAAGTTTGATTCAAATCCGATATGACTCAAATTAATTAAAAAAATTAAAAAAAAACCTTGCTTGATTGAAAATAAAAAGTATATTCTATTTTATGTTGATTGAGAGTAAGAAATATAGGTTCTTTTCAATCAAGTAATTATCTTTATAAATAGATACTTACGTAATAACATTTGATGTAAAGTTGTTTTAGAGAGACTCCTCTTTTATTCTTCTATTTCTAAAATTAGTGAAAATTTTTCTTTTTTGTCCATAGTTTTCTCGGAAAAAAAATCATGTAAAATCATACTATCCCTATCAATATATATTAGAGATTAGGGTTAGATGTAAAGTTGTTTTATGAAAATTATTTTTGTATTATTTTATTTTTGATATTAGTGAAAAAAATTCCCCATTTATCCATGTTTTTTCTCGAAACAATTTTCGCATAAAATTTTAAAGTTAATTTATTTACTTGATCATTATATTTGTCCTTATCTTTTTACAATAACATTAAATAATGATCCAACGAACAAACTTATTTTATTTGTGGGTGCATATTGACGAAATCTCTGTGGACTATTAAGACAAATTTCAACACCCAACTTTTTGAAAAAGAATCAATGGGAATGATGAAAGAAATCATCATCATTTCATTAAACATAAAATCTTTTTTAAGATGCTGATATCGACCGTAGTTATGATCCACATAAGCTTTCAACTAATTAAATCAAAGTGGGACATTTTTTATGACAACGTAAAACAAAGAATCCGTGATATATATATAATAGAGGCTGCTAAAATAATGTTGGTCGTAGACTGAATCTTGATTTCACTATTAATTTTATATTAAATGCTTTTTTAATAGTTTAATGAGATTATAAGATAATATATGTTCAAAAAAAATTTAATCTACTGACAATTAAACGTGGTTACTCGAACGTAAGATATGTAATGTTAGTTTTCCTTAAATCTGATTAAATAATAATTTGGGAGGAAAACAGAGGTTAATTCTGTAATCGTATTTTCTTCGTAAAACCTATGCATATATACATATAAATTGAAAAATGAAGCAAACGGATAATAGGGGCAATAGATTTGTCAAGCCGCGAGGACAAGGACTTTGATGGTACCCTGACTGTTAGCAGTAAGCATGGTCGGGCTATCGCTCTTCCAGCACACTGCACTTATGAAGTGTGATCCTCCCCCATCTTCATCTGTATCATCCATCTCTTGTGAACCAAATCTATGCCATGTTACTGGATTTGATATTTCCTGCATTCATTTTTCTTACTTAGATTCTTCAAACCCCAACAACCATGTCATATGTTGGCTAGGTTTAATCATCAAAAGATATTAAACCTTTACAACCTTAACAAATCAAAAAGTAAAACCGATGAAGGTCGTCGGTTGATGGTTTTCCTTACCTTATGGTACACATAAACTTCATTTGTTTCGCTGCCGCATGCAATATATTCGCTGTTTACCGAGAGGCCTACAAAATTCTTCTCATTTGTGTGGCCTTTAAATGTACGAAGCTGTACGTAAACCAGATGATATCAATGAAAATGTCCCAAAACTAATCCCCCATTTTTTCCCCAAACAAATGAGCAAATAAGAAAAACCAATATGAAACAACCAAAAACTCGAAACAAAAATGTAGGAACGGATTAACAGGTCGCAGATGCATATAAGTTAATGAATCTAGCTCAACACGGTTATTTTGTTTAGAAGACCCTGATCGACATTTGGAAGTTTCAGACGAAGCAAGCATATAAAGCAAATTATCCATAAGATGTTATAGTATATATTTCTAAACCGACTTCTCAGAATATAGAGTAGCTTAAGCTTCACTGCTTTTCAAGAAGCCATATTATTGAATGCATCAATTTAGAGACCAGAAGTTCTGAACTTTAAGCCCTTCAGTCAAAATTATGAAATAATGAACCAATATAAACATATTACTCACCGGCAAATTCTCCTTCACATCCCATAACCTTAGTGTGCTATCCGTAGATGCAGAAGCAAGTTCATTTTCAGACAAGAATTTCACGTATGAGACAGCTTTCTTGTGCCCACTGAACACATGAAGTGGACTACTGATGTTTCTTAAATCATAATAGTGGATGTGATGATCTGCTGAACCAACCTGCATAACCCCACAAAGTTTCATAGTTTTCCAGTTCATTTTCCCGCATAAAGATAAGAAATTCCTATTTAGCATGCTAGCACACAGATAGTAGGACTACCAAGCGCAATCAGTACCAAGGGAAGATATGCATATAAAGATATTTTCAAATCTTGATTTCTTCAAAATTGGCTTTGCGACTTTAAAGTAGCTTTGTTAAAGTACTGAAATCAAACAAAATATATATGAAAAAATTGCCCTACGTATTTACAAACATAAAGTCATATTATTTTGGAAAATATTCCAGTTTCAAAGAGAATAGAAAAAAATGCATATTTAAATAAATTTCTTTTCTGCAAAACACAATGTTTCCACCCCTTATAAAATTAAAACAAATATTCCATACCGCGATGTAATTGCTAGATCCAGGGTTATACTTGACACAACATATATTTGCTTTCATGTCAATGTTATAAACGCTAGCCTCCTGCTTTGTGCACCAAACTTTCACCTGGTCGATTAAAAAAATGCATCCATGATACGGTTAGTCGTTACGATGAACTTTCCCTTTCTAATGATGGAAGTTTATAGAAAATAAAAGCATGAATCAGGCTTATCCTCCCAACCTAAAACATGCAGCTAAGATTAATGCTACACATTGAGGCATAGAAAGAAGCAACCAACCACACATATTTTCTACAGGACTTAACAGTAACACTTGTCCTAAGACCTAACAGAGTACTATTTTCAAACACACAAGTACACTTCAAACTTTAACATTGATGCTCATTTCATCTGGCATTTATATAAGCCAAATGGAAAGAAAAGGAGCTGTAAACCTCAAAGATCAAATAATAGCAAAAAGACGGCTAAGCCTACATATTGCTTAAGTAGCTTCTTTAGGATGCTACAACACAAAATTTTTTTTGATAAGAATTGCAGGCCTCGTTAAAAACCCCCTTCTTGATTAATGGAGCTTGTAGGGAAGCTCCTTAATCAGCAGAAGGAGGAAAAGAGTGCCTTAAGATTTTATTCATCACAAGAAATACATAAGATACAACAAGAGAAACCCCCTAACATAAACAGAAATGACTCGACTAAACATATTCGGTCTTTATTACTCAAAATTTCTTCACCATATATATACACTAGAAGGTAAAGGAAAATTACACCAAACACTTCATACATATAAAAGTCGAAAACACGACCATCCAGTTCTTAGGTCTAGCATACATCATAAAGGACCCATTACAAAATATGAAGTACAGTACACACAGAAAATAGTTCTCAAATATGGAGATGGACCTGGCAAATTTGAAAATGACTAACTAACAAACACAAATAAAACTTGGTAGTGACGTGGGTTTGGCTTTTGTATAATCATATGTTTGTCCCAACCACTTTATGACATGAAAACTTCTGTCTTATGCGGGTTTCCTGCCTGGCCCATTTAGGCACATTAACTTGATCATATTAACAGGTTAACCCACATAACTCAACATAACTAATAACCCATTTAAGTTTTATTAATAGACATCAATATCGAATATCTTCAACTTATTACTATTATTTAAAAAGGTTCAAAACATCATGTTTAAGTAGGTTTATCAGATTTAAATAGATTAACTATGTTGAGCCGTGTACAAGCTTGATTTGTTAAATATCTTAACCATACCATGTCGTGTAACTTGTGAAATACATATCCAGTATCCATGTCAAGAACCTTGACAAAATTAACCGAATCTTGTACATGTCAACGAATTCATCTCTTATATCCTTGTCTTGAGTCTTGACATAATAAGATTAAGACAGGTTAACACATAATAAATAATTTTAGAGCTTTCCCCCAACCAAATGCATAATTGTCTTCTCACTCTCTCCTTCCAAGATGCAATGATAAGATACTATAAATTGATTAAGCAAACCAGTAACACTTGATATAGTATGGAATATGTCGGCATACCTTGCAATCATCACTACCAGATACAAGCATCGAGGGATCTGTCCGTGAGAAATCAACACTCCATGCTCGTTTTTCATGTTCTTCATATTCCATCAGACTCTGAAAGAGATTAAACATTATGAATTAAAATGATAAGGTTGGTAAATCTTGTTTAAAATGAAAATTATAACAAGAAACTCCAAGAATTTAACTATATTGTCAAGCAAATGAGTAACCATAACAATTCTTCATTACCTGACGAGTTTTCACATCCCACACTGTTACTATCCCCTCGTAATCACTACTAGCTATCTGATTCTTCCAATGCTTGTTCCAACTCAAGCAACTTAGTTTAGAACGTGTAGACATCTCCTCAACAGGACAGTGTACATCTGCTGGTTCATTTAGGACCTGGAAAACAACTGCATAGTCAACAAGAGTCTCTCTCTCTGATAAAAACATAGTAAGAGTTGGCATAGCTAGAGATTGAAAGTTGAAGTAGCAAATCATTAACTGTGAACTTTCTTTGACAATATGCAGATCCATTGAAATAATATCAGCAAAATTATCAAACAAAATGCCAGCTTCCTCAAGGTTTTCACAAAACAATACTAGAAAAAGCAACCACATTGGGGCAAGACTAACCCAGAACATAAATGATTGTCAAATGTACAGGAAAGCCAACCACAGATATGGCTATAAAACACC